CTTCATTCTCCTCTCTCTCTTTCCCTCCCCTCCCTTCCTCTCTCCACCCTTCCCTTCCTCCCTTTATATTTTCTATCCTCCTTCCCTCACCTTCCTCAGTGTAGATAAGCGCGCGCGCGGGTGTGTGTGTGTGTGTGTGTGTTGTGTGTGTGTGTGTGTGTGTGTGTGTGTGTGTGTGTGTGAGCACCACTGTCTTTCATTTCCTACCATCCCCCACCCTACACACACCAGTTCACACAAATAGCAAGAGAACCAACTTCTGAATTTAGTATCATTGCAACATATCACAAAAGCACACACGCACGCGCGCACTCACAGGTAACCCAAGCCGGGGTGTGGCCAGGCTGGAGTGTGACTGCGGTTAGACACTCCGACTCGAGCACCGCCAGTTACGACTTGCCTCCGTCCATGTGTGCGTCTGCGTGTATGAGGAAGAGAAGGGGAGAGTGAGAGGACGTACCTGAGAAGTTTTAGCCTTACCGTTCTGCGTTGTTTGATGTTCCCTTAACCATTACATATAGATAGATAGATAAACTATATGCATACGTATTTACATTATATATGTACATCTCTCTCTCTCTCTCTCTCTCTCTCTCTCTCTCTCTCTCTCTCTCTCTCTCTCTCTATATATATAATATATAATATATAATATATATATATATATATAATATATATATTTATATATGTATGTGTGTGTGTATATGCGTGTGTGTATGTGTGTGGTGTGTGTATATATATATATATATATATATATATATATATATATATATATATATATATATATATAATATATATAATATATATATACATATATACATATATATATATACATACATACATATACATATACATATATACATACACACACACACACACACACACACAATATATATATATATATATATATATATATATATATATATATATATATGTGTGTGTGTGTGTGTGTGTGTGTTGTGTGTATGTATGTATGTATGTATATGTATATATATGTATAGATATATATTGGTACATATATACCCAGTTTAAAAGGAAGTGCGGATGATATTCGCATTTTATTTGTATTTGGTTTTCATTGGTATTTGTATATTGCTAGGTTTATACATATATGTACTTAAGTATGTATTTGTTTATGTTTTATGATTATGTGCTTATAATATTCTGCATATACTTATCATCTTTGAATAACTGTTTACTAATGAGACAGGAAATGAAGGATGTAAAGAAGGGAACACCGTTACCGCAAAGATGCCGCACCAGGCCACCGGGAAAGCTGCGAATTTTAGCCATGGAACGTGAGGGTGTTGCGTTGGGGGGAGTGGGGGGGGCAGAAGGCGGTACTTCCTCCCCAGATAACGAGGTTCAGTTCGTGCACCGCTCGGGGGGCGCCACTCCTTGCCTCCGAACGTTTATGAGTTCCGGCGGTGGAGGTGCGGGCGTGGGAAAAGTAAGAGAAAGGTTATATCCATTTGCGAGGCTTATAAATTGACTTTGGAGACACATTCCTGAATACCAAAACGAGACATGTGGCGGAATCGCGAGATAGACGGCTGCCGAAAGCAAGCTAGTGGCAAGGGTTGCCATATTTAGGGTGTGCAGCAGTGACCATGTTTGGAAGGCTGGAGGTGCAGGAGGCAGGAGGGAGGCGGCGGCCGCGTCCGGTAAGGCTCCCCGGCTAACCTTCTCTCCGCTTGGATGAGTTTTATCCCACATGTTGTCCTTGTCACTCGCTGCTGCGGCTTGTACGGAGATGGAGGGACGCGGCGAGGTATTTCCTAGCACGGGAATGGCTCGCGAGGGAGGAAAAGAAATGAATTGGAAAGTTGGGGGCGAACCGGTTCCCGCGGCGTCGTGATCGCCGTCGCTGCACTCGTAAAGGAGTGCCATGTCTGTTGGCATCATCGCCACCTATTGTCATCACCTCTCCGACAGAATGTGCTATTTTTTTGTAATTTTTGTTGACCTCGCTGGCATTCTGAATAACATGCGCGTTTCCACTTATATCCAATTCTTATAAGTACCTTCTAGTGTCTTGATCAAAGCTAGTTTTCCTTTTCGTCACAAATAATCCTCTCTATGCCTGATGGAGACTTAAAATCAACATTTTGTTGTAAAACAGCACACAGGAAATTAATATTTATGAGCACATCATGGAACTTAACATTATCACTGGACTAGACACGAAGAACGGAAATGATCCTAACTCTTTGGTCGCGTTCGGTTTCCCTTTTCTCTGACTCTCGCATCCCCCGCTTTACAATTCGTTTTCCATCACTAACTTCGGTTCAAGTTTCCTGTGCTGGAAGAGATATTTTTGCACCTGATTTCCTGGAAGCGTTGCGATTGAAATTATTAGCGAATCTTTCCTTGGTGTTGGCTCAGCCCGACGTTCTGTTGTGATTAAAATTGATGCGATTCGATTATTTATTTTGGGATGAGTTAATTATGCGAAGCTAAACGTGTTTTCGAGATCGCCCACAAGCTTAGTTCATAACAGCAATGATGATGATGATGATGATGATGATGATAATGGCGTTGCATCGATTGGATATGTGGGCCACGCCTTGGGCACGGGAGGAGGACCTGATCTCGACCCGGTTCAGAGGGGGTTTAAGTGCGGGTTATGATCCAGGAAATGTTATAGGTGTTGAGACCCTCGCCAGCAGCCGGGCCTCGTCTTTGCCCTTGTGACCCGTGTCCTTTATTTGTCTTCCTAAGTTACAAAGGCGATGCGAGTGCGTGTGTGTTCCTGTGCTCACTTGGGGGGCTACATTATTTTAAATCGTTGGGCGTGTGTATGTGTGTGTGTGTGTTTATAGTCGCAAAACCTACAGTCGTCCCGGCATTATTTTGCTGTGGTGAATCAATTGAGCCCATATGACATCTTGGTCCTGGCTCCTTCATTGGTCATAATAATGATTGGTCATCAGAACACTTTGGCAATACCTAGGCCTATATGTGCTCGTTTGAAAGATCTGGAGGATATGTAAAACATACCGTAGCTCTTGCGTCTACATCTACATACCAAGAAATTTGTTTCTCGGGATGAAAGATATCTATCGGAGTAATGATTTATTTTCTTCCGTGCGTGATATATGTAATATGTGTGTAAAGTTCCTCGATATGAGAACCGAGATTATTATTCCCAGCAACATGATCCACATCGCGCGGAAATAAAACACTGGATTGTACGTGCACGCTTCGGTCACGTGGCGGGACCCTGAGATCATGGATCCCTAGAAGAGCGGAACGATTATGGGACAGTGTTACAGCCGTATCCGCGGGCACTTGGGCTCTGTGAACATCTTACTGGAATTTGGGATGATTGAGTCAAATTGATGTCTTTATAAAACAACAGTGAACAAGGCGCCGAAGGCAAAGACAGCTTTTGTGTTGTGGAGAAGAGCGTAGCTTGCGGTGAGAGCGTAAAGACATGCGGCTCTGTAGGGGAGGGCAGCACAGAGTGAGCTACATGCTGCCGGTACTCACGAGAGTGAACCTGCCGTGTTGTCTCATTGGTTCTCCCTCGACCTTTCTCTCTACTGGTCCTCCCTCGCCCTTCGGTTGAACACCTCGCTGTCACCCTCCCTTGAGTACGAGCAGCGGCACCATGAAGATCGCTTGCGTTCCCATGGCCGCCGTGGCTGCCAACGGACGCATTCCTCGGTTCTGGAACCTTTCCTCATATGGCTCCTGGGTAAGTGAGGGGATGGCGAAACTGCTTAGGGCAAAACTGTTTTAATGACTGATGAGTATAACGTTGCCATTTTTAAATTTGGATTTGTTACGTGATATCCATTTTCCCGTGGTCTACAGGAAGCCTCTTTCGTGCACTCTGGTCTTCATTTTAGAAAGTTTAAGAAGTAAACCCAAGTAGTTTTACGTAATTTACATTCAACTTATGAAGGTAAATCACTAATAGTTGCAATCAGGCTACATAGCTTTCATAAAAGAATCGCTGATGTCTCTTATTCCATTAACCATTATCAGTAAGAGTAGAAAATCGTTACTTTCTTAGTGATACATGGTAATAAAGCCTCTTTAATATTAAGGTAAACTAACCCCCATAGTAACAGGTTAGGGTAACTTTCCTCTGTAGTAACAAAGGCAAGTGTGTTGTATAAGTCGGAGAGGCGTTGAGTTACAGCGGCGGGGGTGTCAGGTGAGAGCCTGCCGTCCTAAGGAAGGCTGACTCCAGGAGTAGTAGAAGGAGGAGGGCTTCTTTTATATTCCTTCGTCTCTAATTTCTCTTTCTTCCTTTTTTTCCACATATCTTCTGCATACATTTTACCCACTGCTTTTCCCTATATTCCTCGCCTTTATTTTATTTCTTCGCCTCTCCTTTCTTCACGTTTGTCCTTCCCTTGCTCCTCTCCGTTCTCGGGATGCGACCCACCTTGCCTCGAGGCTGACTTCAGCCTGTGTTCCTTCTGGAGGCCAGCTCGAGGTCGGAACAAGCGAGGAGTGAGTGAGAGCGAGTGTACCCCGTCTTTCCCCGCCAAGCCCAAACATTTATTACACTTTGACCTAATTGCATCATCATCACCTCCCTCATAAATATTTAGCCTTAACATGAGCAGGGCCTCGAGCAGTTTGTCCCGGGCGTTGGGTACTCCAGGCCAAGGTCTTATGTAGACTTTGTTCCCGTCTGCAGGCAATTCGCACACGCTGCCGTCTTGCTTAGAATATTCATTCATCTGATTAGACTGAAAACTCACGCATACACGCACGAGCGCGCGCGCGCGCGCACACACACACACACACACACACACACACACACACACACACACACACACACACACACACACACACACACACACACACACACACACACACACACACACACACACACAGATAAATGTGTATGTGTATATGCAAATATATACGAATATTGAGTGTAATTATAAATATATATATAAGAATATTTTGTAGATGTTCGACTTTCTTTGTATTTACAGAGCTTTAATATCTAACAAACGGTTTTTTTTTTTGTGTTGCAGACGCCCTTGGGTGTAGAGGACCAGATCTCCCTGCGTGGCGCCGAAGTGGAAGTAGCGAGCGACTACACCAAGAGGCGGAATGTGCTGCGCCTGGCCACGCCGGGCGGGTCGCAGCTGCTGCTCCAGGCCGACACTCCGCCGGAGATGCTGGCTTGGCTCTCCACTCTGCAGAATAACTGTGCCATACAGGTAAGTATCAGCCACACACTGGACGTCACCTCCTTTTCTTACATCAAAAATAGGCTCCTCTATAAGTAGAGGTAACCGTAGGCCAGTAGCAATGTCGCAGTGTCTAAGAGCGAAAATTAATAGCAGATGTCTCCAACTCTTTCCGTAACGCAGTTCTTAAATATAAACATAAATAGCTAACGGTTACTTCACACAACCCAAGGATTCATAACAAATTTAGTATGGTGGTTTATTTGAAGGACATCAAAACATAATTTTACGTTTCCGTGGAAAATGTTTTTACATTTTCACATCTAAAATATCGCCGACTTCACTTTCTCACCCTGGAGTACTGCAGTCAAAACTGCATTCAGTAAATGTTTAGGTAGACATTAATATTCTCCTCTTTCTGTAGTAGTTGTGCTGCTTCAATTAGAATGCAAAAATCAGAGACATCTTTCATAAAGGGTAATACATTGTCAAGTCAACAAAACTTGATTATGGTCAAGTCCAAATCTTTCGAAATTATTTAGTTCGAAACTTAAAGGTTTAAAAGTTTTCTTGTTATGTTAATGCTATTATTTTCCCCGTTCACAGGAAGGAGAGGCATGCAGCAAAACCCCCATGAACAATAACAACGTATCGCCGCAGACTAGCAACAAGGCGATGCGGAAACTGACCTCGTCACTGCGAACGCGCTCGCCCACCGGGCAGTCGCCGTCGACCAAGACCCGAAAGCCTAGCAGCGTCGGTGAGTGAGGCGGCGGCACTCCTTTCTGAATACTTCATACATTCGTTGTAAAGGAATTGCTTAGTGTAACATGATCTGAGCGCACGTATGCACCAGCTCTTCGCACCTTAAGGCATATACACGCGCGCCCACATAAAGATACAAATAAAGTGTAGTAGTATTAGTAGTATTTATACATGCACAATTATTGTTGTTATTAATTTCAGAACTTGGAATATTAATTGTGTACATAAATGAGATATTTTGATTTTTTCAGAGAGCAATTCTTCACCTAAGTCTAAGACTTGGAGAGGCAATCTTGTAAGACCCTTCATGAAGAAGATCCAAGGTGGCTCCCCTGCCATCACCCCTACCACCCCCCATCCAGAGGGTGCAACAATAGGTGTATGCTTAGAAGATTGCCCACAAGTAAGTTCTGTGGTGTTTGTCTTTTCTTCCTCATTCCCATTGTACTGTTGCTTAGATTTTTAATCAGCAGTTGATTGTGTAAGTTTTTTATTGCTATATAGATAAAAGGTTAGATATTATGATCACCTCTTGTTTGTTTCTTTATTTTCTTTGATAATATGAAGTATTCTATCTTCATAGTAACCAACTAATAAAAGTAACTGTCATATGTTTATTCTTCTATTACAGTCAGAAGAAAATGAATTTGTTCCACTATTGGTGGCCCTCTGTGTCAGTGTTGTGGAGACCAGAGGTTTACAAACTCAGGGCATCTATCGTATCCCAGGAAATAAAGCAGCAGTAACACATTTAACCGAGATGATCAACAAGGGACCCAAAGCTATTGACTATAGTGACCCAAGGTAAGTGATATATTATTTATCTCTTTTGTTTTTCATCTTGAGTATGTTGCTGAATGTAAAGTAAATTAACTTCTACATATGTATTCCATTTTTTAGTGCATCCTCCCAAAAAAGGCTAAGGAGATCCTCTTACTTTCCTTCCCCCAGATGGTCTGATGTGAATGTGATCTCCAGTATGTTAAAGCAGTTTTTCCAGAAGTTACCAGACCCGCTTTTTACCTGTGATCTTTATCCACTATTCATTGAAGCCAGTAAAATAGAGGATCCAAATCAGAGGTTAATGGAGCTCAGGAGATTGGTAAGTTACAGCCTATATGTATGCTCATTTTGCTTCTATATGTCCCTTCTATTCACAGACTGATATTCATCATGAATATGTATATATTTGTTTCAGAGAAAAACAAATAGTATTATGATGTAGAGCACCCATGATGCAAAAAAATTTATATTGTATGTTCTTGCAGGTACAAGAATTACCTGATCATCACTATGAGACACTCAGATTCCTTATGCTTCACTTAAGTCATATTGTCAGCAACAGTGAGTCTAACAAAATGGATGTCCGAAATTTGGCCATTGTGTTTGGACCAACACTAGTTCGCTCAGGGGACGACAACATGATCACCATGGTTACAGACATGTCACATCAGTGCAAAATTGTTGAGACATTGATAGGCCAAGTAAGTTAAAATTGTAAGATTAAATGCTAGACTGAGATTAAATATACCTATATTGAAAAGTAATATTTTTAAGTAGTTAGAAAGGCTCAAAATTAAGTCATGCTTTTGTAAAATTTGCAGGCAGCTTGGTTTTTTAATGATGATGATGGAGAAGAAGTAATTCCACCATCTCTAAGTCCATCTGTTTTACAAAGTTCTGCAAGTGATTCATTATCACCTACCATGGAACCTGAAACACCATCTAGCCAAGCACTACTTCTTCACAACATTCAGAAAGTTGAAGGTATGAGGTGTGCAAAGTGCTTTATGGTTGAATAACCATAAATATGATACTAAAGATGAATCATAATTACTGGTCTGTATAATAAGATATTATCTTAACTTGTTTTCAGGTGCAAAGGGAGACTTGAAGAAGGATATTGTTTCTTCCATCATTTCAGCAGCAAATAGGAAAGTTCACAAAGTGAAATATAAAAAGCCAGTTGATGACAAGCCAGTAGATGATATTAAATATAGTGATAAGGAAGGAGGTTTTGAAGAAAGAGATATTGATAAGGAAGCAGAATTAAGAAAGCAAAGATTATTAGCTAAACAGATTGAAAGTATGGTTGAACTACCAGATCCAAAACCAATGAGTGAACGTAAGATCTCAAATATGAGCTTAATGAGTGTTCATGGTCATCCTTCTAGTATGTCTAGTTTAACACAGAGTAGCGAAAGGACTAGTGCCAGTGAACAGGGAAAGCACAGTTTACCTGAACAGGATGGTCGTCTGTTTTGTGTTATCAAGAAAGATGCGTTATCTTCTAGCACACCACCACCCCCCGGTAGTAGTTCTGTCATAGCTCCCTCCTGCCAACAATCTAGTCAGCTGACAACACCAGAGACATCCTCCCTCTTTGGAGATGAAGTAGCTATTCGTTCTTATGCTGGCCTCAGTGCTAGTACTCAGGAACGAATCAGGCGATTTGAAATGGAGACACGAGCTATGCTTCACCGTGACCTGACTAAACACAGAAGAGAAACAGAAAGGAGAGATGTGGAGAGGAGAAGACTAGAGGAACTCTGGCAGCGAGCTAAGCAGGACATGGAATCAGAAGATATCCTTGACCAGTTAGCTGACAACCCAACAGGTGAGATAAATCATATCATTGGTACCTGTAATAGAAATAAGTTACTGAAGTCCATTTAGTGAGTAGTATGTTCAGAATACAAATTATACCATTGCTAATACCAAGATTATTTTTTGTGGGATTCTGGAGTTCGCTTTATTTAAGATTCTTTTACTTTCCTTTGGTCAAACCTTTGTTTGCCCTAAATTTGTAAATTGAATAATAGTTGAGTGAACTATATAACAGACATGGTTGCCTGTGTGTGCTACTTCTCTGCCAGAAACTCTAAATTTTAACTATAATTGTTTATTTACATTTGGAATTTACTTTCATTGGATATTAAAAGTAGCAAATAATTCTGTTTTTCATAAATTGATTTATGAAGTCAACTTCTTAGATATTTCATATAAAACACTTATTTGAAAATTTTATATCACATATTTTGCCAAATTAAGATTAATGAGCAGGAAAGAAAGATGTGTGTGTGTTCATGTATGGGTGTTTTGAGTATGTTTATTGATAGGCTTATGAAAACTGAATGTATATTGTATATATATTTTATATATATGTACTGTATAGATATTTAGATGTAATCTGAATATATTAAGATATGTTTGATGTCATTCACTGTTATTTTAGTACTTCTTAACTGCATGTATTTAGCCAGGCTTTTTACCTTAGAGGATGTAATTGATGTGATGGCTTGGCAAATAATCAGGATTTAACATGAAATATAAGTTTTAGAGTCATGAGTCCATTGAAGCTTCTTCTGAATTGTGGATTGGCTTGATATCTCTTTGTAAAGATACATTCTCCTGCTGATCATTATGTTTAGCACTCGTTTCATGTCAGTGTAATCAGTATAATGAATATTCCATTTTGTGTGGGATATGCATGTCAGCCTTAGAGTTTTTTTATTTAATCTCTTTCAAACTATGTTAACTAATAATATATACTATTTCTGCTGGCTACAATTATATCAGATCCTGTGGGTTGCAGTTAATGAGTAATAGTGTGTTAATTGGAGAAATCTATTGTTAGTAGAATTAATGCAGTTAACTCTACAATTTAAAAAAATCTTAGTGCTTGTTTGACAGTGTGTGTGTCTGCTGTTAGTATACTTGACGTGCTTTATTGATAATCTTAACACATTTATGGTCTTCACACCTAACAAACTAACAATACTAACATGATACAAATGATATCTTATAACAGAGCCTTCCTAGTACCCTGGCTGCATAGAACACTTGGAATGTATCTGCTTCCATGAGGTATTTTGCCTTTAGGGCTGTTTAGAGGTGATTCTATCCCCCAAACATTTGCTGGTTGTATGCTGCATGGTTGTTTATTCATTATATGTGAATTGCATGCACAATCACATATTTATGCATACTTAGACTTAGTTAAAGGCATTTACCATACTCAGACATGCATGATATATTCTTGGATGTTGCAGCATATTAAAATTGGACTTTATATCTATCCTTCTCAGTTTTCAGTTTTGTATGTTTTGGAGAGTGTGAGTTGATTTCAAGGTTGTTTCACTCTTACTTATGTGTAGATACTAGGATATTCTGTACAAGCCTAGGATTTCGTATGCGTGCTGTTTGATTCTTGTGTGTAAGCTGTAATACACAGAATGTGGTTTTGTAAACTTTTTATTATTATTTATTGTTATTGTTTTTGTGTATTTTGTCTTTCATTTTTATATCTCAAGCCTTTGTTTTATCCCAAAGACTATACATACAGTAATATTTGATTTTGTTAGTTTGGATGTTACTGAGATGTGATATAATATGGTCTATGTTAGGTTTTATTAATACTGACAAAAGTTTCACATCAGATCACTCTGTTTTCCTGTAAATTTTATGTTTGCCTGGAATGGGGTTTGTTTGAATATCACAGTATTGTAGTTTATCATTTCTTTATTTCTCATCTGCTCATAATGTTTACTTCCCATACCTTTCCATACTTCAGGCTTGTACTCTTGCACAAAATGCATTTATAGTTGATGTTTATTTTTTTCTTTTCTTTTCTTTTTTCTTTCTCAAAGTACTATAGGTTAACTTAATGTATACCTAGTAGGATACCTAGAATTTATGTGTATCAAAACAGTGCATCACTCCAGGAATAAGACAAAATGGAGAAACTACTAATGTGTTAATACCTTTTGTGTATGTAATGTTTTGTACTTAGTCTTTATTCTAAATATTGATCTATTGATCACAGTAAGGTAAGCTGCTCAGAAGATAAAAATCTTGGCTTAGGAAAGAGTAGAATAAATCAATGGCTCCACCAGTGGCAATATATAAGAATTTTGTAGAGAAGAGGTATTTCTCCCTGCCCATCAGTCAGTTGTCCCACCTTTTCCTTGAGTGACTCCTAGTCCTGTCTTCTTTCAGTTGTAAATAAAGAAATATTCTTTTATGTATGAACAAATGTAGTTGTATTTGTTTTACTATCAGCTGTGTCTAGTATCTTCAGTAAGACCTTTTTTCTATTTTCCTGTATTTTTTGTTTTTTTAAACCAGAGGAATTTCTTTAATTTTTGTTATTGCCAGCTTCTACATGGTACTTTTGTACAAAGTGATTTTAATTATAAAGCCTATTCCCTAATAACATATTTCATTTGATGCCTATGTTCTCCCTTGCTTTCCCATTACTTACATATGTGCTGTATTATCAGTGTGTGTTTGCATATGTATATATATTTTTATATGCATAAATGAATACATATATATAAATACATACATGTACATACCCATATGATTATTTGTTTTTGTTAAATATTTCTTTTTTTTTTTTGGTATATCTTTTTTTTTTTTTTGCATAGTAAGAGAAGGATGACCTAGTTTATAGATTTTTTATAAGTATTATTTGGTCTCTAGAGTATGATAAGTTCTATATGTGTATATCAGAGATACTACTTTTTATATTACAAAAATAGGCTCTATATATAGTTTAGAACAAAACAAAATTAGGTGCATATTTATTGACATTTTTAATATTGGAAAATTACTAACATTAAAGTCTTATATTATGTATTGATATGTTCATTCAGTTTTATTAAGACACTTCCATGTTTCTGGTACCTACTGAATTTATCTTTATCTCATAGAAAAAATGATATTCAGTATAAAAGGGGAAACACTGGATTATAAGAAATATGTATATGTTAATTGTAAAGAATACATGAAGACGACACATAATGTGATAAAGAAGACATCTGCAATTTTATAAGAGTTGGACAGGCTCAGCAGCCACCTTCACCACAGTGCAACACAATACATTGAAAACAAGAAAGAATTGAATAACTTATGATACTTTGTAAAGATTTATGCAATTTTTTCAGTCCTTTTCTCTATTCCATATTTGAATATATCATTGCATTTGATATGGTACACTTTTTACTTATTAGTATAATAAATAGAATTTATAATGTGAAAATCAGTTGTCATTTGAAAAATCTTCGCTGAATCCCAAGTTTAAAATGTTAAACTATTTTACATTTAAAGAAATATGGAGGACTGTCTTTGTATATTATAACAATTGTGGTAGGACATATAGATGTATTTCACAGATTAAAAAAACAAGTGATACTGTTCAGATTCCTTTTCACACTGCAGTAACTTTAAACACTTACCTCAGTTCTGAAATCAGACAAGATTGAGCTTATTAATGAATACTAACTTTTATGTTTTCCTTTAAGTCTGTAGTGAATATTACTTCTTTTAAAGTTTGATATTGTACTATATCTAGCCAGACATTATATTAATGTTAGGTTATTGGAAAGATTCACTGATTGTGATTTGCAAAATATGCAGATTTGCAACTTTTTTCAAGATGTCTCATTATCGTATCTAAACTTGTATCTCTTACTTACAGAGGTTGTGCGCAAGATTTCTGACTACTCATGGCGGCTTCAAGGGCTCAGTGAGAGTATGGGTGGGGACCAAGGATCACTAACTTCCCAGAGTTCCAGCACAAGTTCCCAGACTGGTCTCATCTCAGCAGCCCTCTCTCACCATCCCCTCTCTAACACTTCACTCACACCCACCACTAATGCTACCACCCAGGTACCTAACAATGACTTTCCACAACTTCCTACTATTCAGGTTGATAGTGAGCCTGTTTCAGGACTAGTATGCAACAGGACTAATGATGCTAAGCATGGCCTAACACCACAGCAGTCACACCGTTGGCTTGAATATAATGCAGCTTCGCCTCATAGTACTTTAGGTTCTACTTCTTCATCTAGTAGCTCAGGGTATGGTAGTCTAACTCGTTCGTCTCAGCAACATGATGCTGATTTCTTGACTGAAAAGCCAGTTGAAGATTCCTACCAGAATGAACATTATAAAATTGGGAGGAAACCTTCCAGTACACCACAACAGTTGTCACCTTCAGTTCCAAAGAAAAAGAAATCAAGTAAAGGTTCTGGTTTCCTGTTTGGCTTGACCTCATCTTCTTCTTCTCCTTCCCTGTTTCCTTCATTGGCTGAAGCTGGTACAGAACTAACCCCTACACGTAAAATTGGGCAAACAATAATTTATCCAGAAAGCCCTCGGCCACCACCTCACAATAGTCGCCCTTCCTCACAAAATCAATCTTCTCACGTAACAGCACCCAGCTCTACACTAACTCCTCAGCCGAGCACCCCGATCCTTGGGCGTCAAAAAGACTCACTGTTACACCACATCCTACCTAGTCGTCTATACCATTCTCCCCGACCCCTTCGCCGAGGATCCTCTGCTGAGAATGTGACTCAGCCGCACGCCAATACTCTCTCCCCTTCCACCTTTAACACCCAGAAGGTAATAATCACTTGAAGAGAGCTAGAGCCAGCAGGGATCAGGTAGGGGTGCCATCTTGCACTCCATATTCCTTTTGAATTTTCTTTACAAGCCTTTTATTTTCTTTGAGAACAGTTTCTGTGGTATTAGAATGCCCTTTAGGTTATGTTCA